GCAAAATAAATTTATAAATCCCCTTTAAAAGTCATGATAGGAGTCTGGTGAAACTGAACAGCAGTCATGAAGTATGGTCTTATTGAGGCAAGTTTTTAAATGTTCTTCATGATGATCAAGTCTTCACCACCACTATACCCACCACAGTTTTATTTTTATCTCTGTAATTGAGATTAATTTATCTCAATTCTTAATTTAAAAGCCCAAATTAATCCATGTAGCTGTCAAAACATCCAATCATCCAACTTTTCCCAGCCCAAGGATTGTAAGGCTTAATGCCTTTAACTTCACAGCATGAAGGATATTCTTGTAAAAACTGTGAAGTAATATACACCTGTAAGTTTGCAAATCTGTATATTGATAGAAAAATGTAAAGCAGAGTTTTTATTTTGGATTGTGAGATCTATAATGAGGCCCCACTTTTTGCAGTCCACAATACAAAACATAAAACAATACTTCAGTATCTATGGGCTACATGTGAATAATGAGGCCCTGAAAAAAGCATTTCAAAAAAAACCACTTAGATAATTTACTACATATATGCAATATGTATATATTCCACACATAGTACATATGTGACTATCTGTATATAGCATTTAACTCCAAAATATAATCCTATATACTATTAAACTTAAAAATACAACATTAAAATTACATTACTTAAGAATCACTTAATGAAATGACAAACCCTACATTTTATCATTAAATCAGAAATCAGTAGATGTACAAACATGGCTGATTATAAAATTAGAATAAAAATACATATATTTTATAATTTTATATTCATACCCCAAACCCATCATTAGCTTAAAGGAATTTGTTGTTCAAGCTGTCTCAATCTGTATAGAAGTAGGGCAGCTAAAATTAACAATAGAAAGGAAAATGACACCACTACTGTTAAGAAAACAATGTACAATTCAGACAATGAAACAATTACAAGTAAAGTAATGCTACTATCAAACCAAGGCACTAACCTTTGTTACTTCATTAGGGGAGCTATCTTCTATATAACATCTCACCTTTCAATATCTTCGGCCAGAAAGATGATTGTACAAAGTGAAATTATATGCTAGAAGTCTGCAGGTTCTATACTCCAATTAAGTAAATTCAATAGTAAAATATTAGTTGTTTTTCTAATATGATAATAGCCAAAATAAATAGACAGTCATACTAATGGCATTACACATCCCTAAATTTTTTTTTTTTCAGACAGAGTCTCACTATGCTACGCTCAGTAGAGTGCTATGGCATCACAGCTCACAGCAACCTCAAACTCTTGGGCTTAAGTGATCCTCTTGCCTCAGCCTCCCAAGTAGCTGGGACTACAGGCACCTATCACAATGCCTGGCTATTTTCTTGTTGCAGTTGTCATTGTTGTTTAGCTGGCTCAGGTTGGGTTCAAACCCACCAGCCCTGGTGTATGTGGCTGATACTGTAACCACTGCATTACAGGCACTGAACTAACACATCCCTAAATTAAAACTATTTATTTTTCTTTAAGTGAGCATATGTGGGTGTGGGTGTTGAGTGCGCTAATAGGTAATATACTATAAAACCAAACTCATTCCTCCTTTGGAATTCCTTCTCAGTCCATATATTCAAGGTTCCTTTGACAGTGGAAAGTAACAGTGTTTCAAAGTGAAATCAGTTCTTGTTATTTTTCTTTTACCCTCCCAAAGACAATAATCCCATACACTAACAGGACATAGGTCTTTATATACAACCAGCCTTCAATGTTACATACTTGCAAAGTAAATAAACACAATAGGTTTATATAAAACCTTGGATTAAGACTTCAAAAAAAAAAAGAATTAATAGCATCTCCTATATTCATATCCTGTTTCCCCAAAAAAGGAAGATCTAAACTAAAAGAGAAATAATTCTTTAGTTATACAGGGTATCCATAAAGTTTGTTAAATTGCACACTATTTTAATTGCACATGAACTTTATGGACACCCTGTATATGTCAGTAATATTTAAGGTACAGTATCTTTAAAGTATTTTGTTGACTTAATATTAAATTTTTCATCATCCTCATATGTCTGCTACTTTTAAAGGTGTATAATTAAGAAAAAGTATACTCTACATTTCAAATGATAATTATTTACAGAAACATTTCTCAGGGATAGCATTTCTCTTATTCAGCCCTATATCCCTCAGTGGCTCATCTCACAGAAAATGCTGGAACTAACTGAACTATCAGATAATTATTTCAAAGATTTCAGGAGTATTTAGGGAGCTCTTAAACAGAGTAAATGAAAACCACTTTAGCATTTAAAACAATAACTATGGAGGACTCAGAAGATCATGAGAACCTTCTGCTGGAAGCTCCAGGTAAATTGGCGGCAGCCTACATGTAAGTTGTAAACAATTTCAAATATCCAGCCCTCTCCTGAAACATCCATCCCCTACTCCCATCCCTACCCCTGTGATCCTTCCTCACAGTTGATGTCTTCATAAGGTACTTCAAGAAAATCTGAAATAAAGGACAAAAGAAACTCCTCCCTCTTCCTTAATTCCACACTGACACTGTATGCCATCCCTACTGCCACAAAACAAGGAGATTCCTGCTACCCAGGGACGGACCTTCACTCAGTCCTCTTATTTCTGCCGTGGGTAATAATGTATTCTGAAATGGACGGCAGAGGAAAGATAGATAGAACAAGTCCTCTATCTAATTAATTTTCTACTTTTCATTTACAATATACTATATATAAATAACTCTCTAATTCACATCTCTAAATCTAACCTCAACTTTGTTACAGCCTTTAAAAAAATCAAAGTAAGACTTTACCTTGACTATCCCACACAGAAACTTTTCAAACACTTCTTTGAGGCTGAAGAATTGGAAAATAAGTACAAAAGGGAAGGACTCCCTCAATAAATCAGTCCCCAGGGCTGATGCTTTTCCTCCCCAGTGCTTCTCCAGGTCTCTCCCCCAGAGCCCTGGCTCGGGTTCTAAGGAGTTTTCCACTGAACTCCAGTGTTCTTTCTGCCATAACATTTTTTGGCCTTCTGAAACATCCTCTGCACAGCAAATCCATCTTTCTGATGACCTTGGTATGATATCTCTATGAAAAGATTAGTGAAGCTTCTAGTAAGTTGAGTTTATTTTAATTTCAAGGTCTTCTCATAATTGTAGTTTCCTAAAATATCCTAGTCCCCAGGCTCAGGCAGGCTGTGCAGGGGGCGGGGGGACCTGTTGCTCCTCTCCCTTTTCAACTCACACCACCCTCCACATAACACCCCTGTTGGCTTCACAAACAACTGCAATTCCCTCTCCATTCAAATCCCAGTCTCAAACCTCTTGAACCACCCATGTTTCTTCCCATCCTAAATTATATCAGGGAGCGTGTGTGTGTTTTATAGCTGGTCAAAACAAACTCTGTCCATATTAATTTGACCTAATTTGAATATTCTCTGTCACATCATCACTTGCTTCAGAATTTAGGTAAGTTTAAATTCTGCAGAATTGCATTAACTTTGTAAGAAATTTTATTTTTCCTCATGTACCTGCTTAGCCAATATTTCCTTTTAACTACCTGGTTTGCATCCCAATGGAGACCGTTGCAGACTACAGTCTCCAGTGGCGAAAGGCTTTCAGGGCCAAGCGAGAGCTTCTGGTCACCCACAGTCCTCATTCCAAAACATGGATGTGGAGGAGGGGCTTGATATGATTTACATGGGCCTTAGACAAAATTTGCTATTTCCATAGAAGCTACAAACAATTGAGAGCTACAAGTAATAGAAAATGTCACGCCTTTCAATAAAAAAAAAAAAAATCCTGGCACTCTTTGTTATCTAAGTCTAGAAGTTTTACAACTTCCTAGATTAGTGATTTTTCCCTGGGGCTTTTTCTTAATGCCCTGTGCTCAGTGCCACAATTCACAACCCTCAAGGTTTTGGGAACTCTGCTCCCAATAGTTTAAAGAACAATGCAATTCATGATTATTCAAGTAATCATTATAACCAAGGCAAACACCAGCCAATCCCTCAGGGCTGAAATTTAGCACCTTTAGAGACCTCTGTCTCCACCCCTCAACCCTTGACTGTTTATACTACGCAGACTGGCGCCAGGGCCCCCTCCCTTACACCCTGCTCGCCTCCTTCCCTGTGCCTTCCCTCTGGATGGCCACCGAGACAACCTGAAAATCAAAACTGCCCTGTAGACAGCGGTGGGCGGACTGAATCTCCTCGGGGGTAGTCTGACCCAGAATAATGGCCCTTTTCCAACCTGTTTTTGGTGGCCGCTGTCCAGAGTCCCACATTCTTAAACTTAAGGGGATAGCCACAAACAGGGTGTTTCTGGCCATCACCCCACCACTTCAGTGTCCCACTATCAGTGTCCCGGGAATGAAAACGAGGAAGGCTGCAACTTTCAGGTCTTATCGTTGGAAAATTTGATTCCACGTTTGTATGAAGGTGGGACTAAAGGACGGTAGGGACCTGAGGAGTTGTTGTAGTCTGGTCAGTTGTTTCCACAGCTGGCCAAGTCTAATCACCCCTCTCTTAAAAGCGTGTTTGACAGGTGAGAAATTCCTCCTCCCCGGGTCATTCCAGGAACTCCACAACAACAACCTGCGCTGGGAAAGGGTCTGGAGGGCCGGGGGTGGTGCCGACACCGCGCGGAGCGCGTCCCGGGGGACTCTGCCACAGGAAGGAGGACTCCGGCGCCAGGAGCCGGCCGGTCCAGGGTCGGGAGGGGAGGCAGGGGGAGACCGGGAAGTCTCAAGGATAAGGAAGGGCGCGACGAGGACAGGGCAGGATACCTGGAAATGCCATGAAAGGATGGAAGTGGGTGAAGAGCACGCAGACTGCAGAGGACTGGCCGAGCATAGGTGGGGCGAGGGGAGGACCCCGCGGCCGCGGGTGCGGGGCGTCTGCGCTGGGGGCTCACCCGGCCGGCGCCTGACCCTTCACAGCGCCCGCCGGGCTGGTCCCGGCCGAGCCCGGGGAGGCGGAAAGTTGGCGCGGCGCGGGCGGGCGGGCGGCGCCTTACCTTCTGGTCGACGATGGAGCAAGCCATCTCCCGGACGTGCGCCAGGCTGTAGTCCCCGGACGAGTCCTGCAGCAGCAGCACCGGCTCGCGGCTCAGGCCGATCTGCAGATGG